TTGAATTTGTGAATTTCCGGTAAATTTTTACCGAAGAAATGTCGTTTCCGGATAGTGAACTCTGGAAAATGGTAAAAGTTTGGATGCAACAATCCGCTAGTCAAATTTTTCTAGTTTTAGATGCAACCAAGCAGATTCGGTATCCGGATTCGATCATGGAATTCTTGCTTGCAAGTTCCTATCATTTTTCCAAATTTTGCGAACACAAGCGTCTCGTACTTCTTGACCTGAGTGCAATTAGAAACATAAATTGCAAAAAAATAAAGGAAACTTTCGAAAAAATACATTTGTGCATAGAGAACAATGAAGAGCATGTTTATACACATTGAATTTTATAATAATTTGCATTTTTGCGAAACAATTGCATTGTAAAGTTTCGTTTCATGAGATGTTTAGAGATATCACTAGTCGAAAAACAAACATATTACTAAAATTAAATACAAAAAATTATGTATTTCAATTTTATCCACGTATCTCAATATTAATTTAAGCTAGAATGCTGAAACCTTGAAAAATAAAAGATCTTGATTTGATATGTATGTATATCGAATAAAAATATCAACATTCTATGTTATATAAAAGTATGAAAAATGTCATTGACAAATTATCATCAGTTATTATAGGACACGTACTATATTAAGAATCAAGAAATAGTTTGTCAAACTAACCTTTGGTAACTATAATTTTAGATTGTTTAAATTTACTACAGATAGTCTATTGGTGGTTAAAAGTTATTTGGTTTATATTTCGTTTTTAATAGAATACTTGTCTTCAATTATTAATTATGCTGATAATATATGTATATATATACGTATATGGTGTCCAGAAAATCACTAAACAAACAAAAACTTGAATATCTTCGCCATATGTCGACCATATGGACTGAGTTTTTTTTGCTAATTATAGTGAAGTGTTCATAGCTCATATTTATAAGAAATAAGTTCTCAAAAATTTGTTTTTAATAGTAGAGTTAACGTCAACAAAGTTCAATAATATTTAACGAATTATGAAAAATTACCACTATATTTTTGTCAACAGATTTTTTCTGTTCATGGTCAAAACTTTCCGGGTACATAAAATAACAAGACATATGTTTGTAATATGAATATGAGACCGCCGGGGGACACTACAGTGAATAATTAATCGAAGAAATTAGATGTCGTTTATTTCTTGACTAAAGAAATAAATATACTGTTCTTTCATAATTTGTGAAAGATAACAATTCTTCGTTAAAGTCAATTGTAAATAATTCAAAACAATTTTTAGCAACGTGTCTCTTATGAATATGAGTTATAAGGTTTAATTTATCAGCGGTAAAAATATCAGTCTTTACGGTTGACAGATAGCGAAGATATTCAAATGATATTCAGCTTTATTGAGAAGTGATTTCTACATTTGTTTCCAATTATGAAATATTTATACAAAATGTTTTCAAATAATAGACATAGAATTATTAAGTATTATATGAGATTTTCTCCAAACTTTTGTATATGCAATATAGTTCTGAAATTCTTTTAAAATGATAGAGATGAAAGTTAATTGATTTTTTTCTTTTTGTTTTTCGTCATGTTAACTAAGTAATTAAGAACGTCAATTACTTTTTATGATGACGAAATCATTGATACATTGATTCCGTTTGTAGTAACTGATTATATAAAAAGATAATCATACCATGAAAAATTTAATTAATAAGTTTTAAATTTAATCAGGATGATTCGACTAAAATTTATTATAAGAGTAATGATTAGTCAACATTAAATGTCAACTATGACATACAACTTCTATTTAGAGCACGTCTGGTTTGTTAAGAGTCAATAATGAATGCTACAATTGATTTAAACAAATATCATATTTATAGAAAGAATAAATGAGCAACAACAAAAAAACTGAGCTAATGCCACTGGTATTTTTGGTAACCTATAAGCAATAGTATTGAAGAACGTAAGTAAACAAAGTGAAAAGTTTGATATTTGCATTGTTAAATGGTCAATATATTTTGCAAAATTATGATTATGAATAATATTTTTTTGAAATAATGTAAAATTTAAGCTTTGAATATAATCTTTTAACTTGATAATCAAATCCTCTATCTATTTTAAGATACAAAAATGTATAAACATATAGAGTATTTCATTTAGTTTATTCTTTACTTAGATAATACTCAAAGGGTTATGAATATTGAAAATTGTCATTCAAACATGTCTTTAGAGTAAAACAAATAAAATTGACGTCAAATCAACAATAAAGCATTGAGAGTTTTATTTTTATCTTGCTTATTGATAATATATTGCATGAAGAAAATAACAAAAGTATTATATCTAACATGTTAAGATACTGTGTGGAATAGTAAGTGACATTCAGATTATTTGTCGATATACGAGAATATATTGGTTTCATACAAAATACTAAAACAAATTCTATTTTTCTTATTGCATAGTAAAAATCATTGATCATTATCCATTTCTATCGAATCCATTGTCACTTATTCAGTTAATTAATGAAAATAATCGTTTACGAGTCTATGTAGTTTGCTAAGTGACTGACGATATATGAATAGATATTTATAACATTTCTCTTTTTAGAAAGTAAAGTTATAAAATAAAAGCATGATTTATCAACAAATGGAAATAGTTTCGGATCATTGTAATTCACACATGTGTTCTCAATAGAAAATTCTTTCATCCTCTCACTGTTTAGCTTCTATCATATGTCTGTAGCTATGCATTTAATCAAATATTTAGTTGACGCCAGAACGAGAGAAAATGAGTCCAGATACATGATATTTAGAATTTGTATGCGTTATTACTTGACTTTCTGGCCGACAAAGGTCAACTAATCGATATGATTCTTCATACGATACCGTACTAGTATTGATATTTTAATCTATAGAGAGCATATGTTCGTATAAAAGTGCTATACCTATGTGCAAAGTATCTGGGATAATTCCTCACCTATTGAAACTTTTATTTTTCTTCAAAAAAAAACATCCTTTGTAATTAGTTTTTTCCTCTCAATACTGGCTGAATAGTCAACATCGTAAATTATAGTTTGTCTCAAGCGGAAACTATATTTAAAGCTAATTTTTAATTATTTCGTAGAGGAGAGAAAGTTATACAATATGTCAGTATCAAGGTTGGATTCTTTGCAATGATTGAATAGCAGTTGATACACAGTAACAATTTGGCATCCTCTTGACTGAAAAATGAATGACTCCTGATAAAATCATTGCAATATAATATGTAAATAGCTAGTCTTGTTCAGTTTTCAATGTTCTATCTTCTGGTCTATTACATAAGAGCTTTATCAATTTTTTTTTGATCATTTTACGAAGCATAAATTTAATAATACTGCTATTTTATCAGCTAATGAATGAAAAAAGTTATGAAAACAACATTTTAGTCCTTGGTTTTTGTCCAAAACACAATAACTAGTCAGATAGAATACTTGTTCATGATGAACAACGTATATGTAAGATAATCAAAATTTTATTGTGTAAATCTATTTGGAGAGCAAAAGTAGAATTTTATCAGCGATATAGGATTAACTTGATGAGAACACTTTACATCAAATGAATTCAAATGCAGCTGTATGTTAATTTAAAAAAGGAGTAAGTACAGAATAGATGTAATACATTAATCTCTTGGTATTCCACGTACAAGTAAATGAGGAAAGAGTCGTTGAAAATAAGACACAGCTGACGGAACCATTTTATCATCAGGTCTATAAGTACCAGAGTTATTATTAATAAGTAATGTTTCACCATTATTAGTTTTTTTCATTTCACCCGCAAATCGTACATCAGAGGAATGTTTAGCAAGAGCAATATGTTTACTCAATAATCGATAGGGATATTTGAGTTTTGTATGTGGAATTTTAGCAAATGCAAGACGACCATCTCCAATTAAAGTAAAATTATATTTTTGATCCATTGGAAGTTCGTCAATTAATCGTTTCTTATCAGCTGATCGGTATCTGGGATGCGCTTGCACTTGAGATCTGCGTACAATCCAAATAATTGGTCTAGCACAAAGTGTTTTATGTTTTATATGGTCAGTTATTGTTGGAAGTGGAGAAGGATGTAAACAAATGGGTAAATAATCATTGATATCAATAGATGATTGAGAAATTTCCCAAAAAGGATTTTCACCCCATATGACTCTTAATAAGCGACCAAAAATTGTCGGTGGATAAACATATGCTGTAACAGGAGGTCCAACTAAATAGAATTCAATTATATATTTTTTTCGATTATTCGATTATTCAAACCTTTTAAATTATCGTAATGTTTTCCACGACGAGGTGGAATCGACGGCCTTTGACGCCAATCAGTATTATAAATGGGTTTAGGCTAAATACAATAGAACAAGAACTCTATTCATGTGTAGAAATAAACAATAAGATCTTCGTACTCGATCTGGACCAGGTACAGCAAAATCATCTGCTTTTGTCAATTGATCTCGTATGCTCGGTTTCGAGTTAGAAAGATCACGCAAACAATATTTTGACACCAATGATGCTAATAGGATCAAGATGAATAGCAATAAATATATGCAAAATTTTGACTAGCAAATCCGTTAAAAGTATTGAATAAAGAAGTGATGAAATATTCAGTTAAAATAGATATTTATTACATTCAATATTGACAACAATGGAAAATAATATATGAAGAAATGTATTAAGTTTACAAGTTTTGTGTATTCTATAGTTTTATCTCACCCATTCGTTATTATAAATGTGCGCAGCTTTTTCTCTCACATCAACAACGTACGATGAAATGTGTGTTTAATCACGATGCAATGTATAGCAAATGAAGCTTGTCACACTGAAGGTAAATAGAAGAAAAAAAATTTCATAGAAGAGAAAAGAAAACGATCACAAGTTTTATATATAATCATTTTTTTTGTTACTCCTTTCAGTTGTTGGGGAGAACACTCAGTACATGTGTGTTTGAATTTTAAAAATGACGTTATAAGGATGCTATATATAAATACTAAACATAGTAATATTTAAAAAGAAAATTTCCATTTCAAAGATAACTTCTTTTTTTTGGCAATACAATTTTTTATAGAAGAAATCTGTATCAATGAATGATTGTTTCATTGCTTACACTGTGGTTGATCTATAATTTTGGTAAATCGGGGCGTTTCATCAATAAATGAAGACGATCATGACGAAAGAATGTATTGTGAAGTTCATAATAGGTAGTATCGATTCATTATTAGACCTTTTCTACTAGGAAAAATGTCGGAAAAGAGATATGGTCGTACTCAGTGCCCTATCCTAACTGCGTCACTATCCTTAAACTAGCATATACATGTATATGATCGTATCTATTGATATCTATGTATATACATATCAGTCAGTTAAATAATAAATATTCTTTGCTAGTCAATGGTTCTCTATCAACCATTGATAAGGTTTGTGTGATAATAAGGTGTATAGATGTCAACTCCAAACAATAATATATTATAAAAGATTTATTTTATAAGACTTGAAGATCACTAAATGATTAAAATTAAATCTTCATTGTTTTAAAATGTGACATGAAATATAAAGGAAAAAATTTAAGGCTTTTCATTTCAATAAAGCATTTAATTTATCTGTCTTTTTCATCTTTCTTCCATAAGTAACTGTTTGTTTCGTTTGGTTTTAATCATCTTATTTCATTTCATTCTTCGTACATTCATTCATCAAACAATAATGGAATAACATCGAATTATTTTATTCTAATTGATATTCATTAGTGTTACCATCAGCAACAGAAACTTTAACTTGGCTTTATTATTATTATAAAATTCCATTGAAATGCGATACGTTACATGAATATTGTGTTTCGTCTAAACTTAATGTAGTTGATAGAAAAGTAAATTATAGTAGAGCTTACTGTTACTGATTGTCGACTGCTGTTGATTGATATGGAAAAGTTATTTCTAAAAGTATTTGTCATCTTATTAATTATATTATTCTACAAGCATTAATTTATAATTAATCAGTCACATTTATTAAAATCATATTCAGAAAAATAAAACAAAATTTAGTATTAAATTAATTTTTTCAGGTCATTTTGATTTTAAACTTCTTAAACATATGAGTCACTATAATATCTTTGAATTAATGAAAAATTCTCATAAAAAGTCAAATATATTTATCAATATCCGAGATGATGAAAATTCACATTATCATAGACAACGAAAATCAAAATGGAATCGAACACGAGATTATCTGACTTATGAAATGAAGATTTCTGAAGATTTTATGCATTTCATTTTCATACAGAAAATAAAGTGTTCTCAATATTTCTTTTTTTGTTAGGTATGCCTAGATGTTTTTTTTTGTTCTTATTCTTTTTTTTGTTTTGTTCAACTTCCGCTTTTTTAAAATAAACATAATATTAAACGTATGCTCATAATATTAGATCGTTTTGGTTCTTAAAGAACAAAGCATATCTTCAGAAATATATAATATAAATCAAAGTTGCTACCAGTCGAATCAATTATTTGACTGGTCATATCTAGCTCTGAATCACTACAGAAATTGCGCAAAGCTCCTATTTTACTTTAATCATACTGACACATTGTGGCAGAAATGTTAAAAATATATCTGCCACAATCTGTAAATATCTGGTGGATTTTCTGATATGCTGGTTGCACTGCAATTTTTTTTATCATCAGTTTCTATAAGTTTTCTTTTTCTTGACATCTATCGATGGACAGAAAATTTTATAAGAGTACAAATTCTATATTAGCTTTGTAAACTAATTAAATGTTCATCTAACATACAAATTAAGAATTACTTGTAAATGTACTCTGCGTCTGGTAATAGTTGTACTTTGCTACATATTATGTCTCTGCGAAAGACATGATATAAATAATACGAAATGAAAATAAATATATGCCATAAATTACAATGATGATCAATAATTTTATTTTGTTTCGATAATACAAGTTAATATTGAAGTGAGTTGATAAAATATATTAAGAGTATTTCAATGAATATTCACTTAATAGATATTTTTCTAATTCATGTTCCTTGATAGAAATAGTTATTGACATCAGTAAAAATGATTTTATTGGCAATAAGTAAACATGCAAAAACTCGATACTATCCGGTAAGAAATCCTGTACCGGATTTGTCATTTACCGTTACTGGTTACAACCCTGATATAAATTCTTTTATAAGGCAAATAGCAAAGTCTGAATCGTACCAATTAATAAGAAGAAGAACGAAATTAGAATGTATGAACATTAAGAGCACTTAAGGAAAATGCTTATAAAATATATTTAAAAAAATGGAAAATTGCTAAACAATAAAAAGAGCGAGCTATTAAGTTTTATTATTCATGAAGTTGATTAACAATCAAAAGATTTAGAAGCAACATTGTGTAAATAATGATGAAAGAGAATTTCGGAAATCATTAGTCCGAACAATATGAACAAGATAATATTAAAATATGAAAAAATCAAGAAATTAATTTTACAATAAAAAATAAATTAAACAAATTTATTTAACAAATAAACTAAAGAACTTATTTTAACGTATCGAAAAAAATTGATAATAATGTATTTATTGAAATTCATCACTATGTTCAACAGTAATTGAATAAGTGCTTTTATTGAGTGAATTTCGTTCACAATATAATGAATTAGATGTTACAATACAATTTTTACATGAGGAAAATTTATTTGAATAGGTCCAATACCATCGTTGTGGTGGATGCTTCGATTCTAATGATGTTAATAATTGTTTATTATTAGATTCAGTTGAAGACAATATTGTATTTCTCGATTTAGTATTCATCGATTCGAATAGACCTAATTTTAAGATATACAATCATATTTAAATATCTTTTTTTTTCATTGACATGTTTACTATAATGATTGAATTGTTGATGTTGTTCTTGTTGTGTACATGGTTGATATTGATAATCAGAAAATTCAGAATTTGTTCTACATCTTGATGGATCATGTGTAACTTCAATAGAAATACGACTTTGATCAATATTATCTCCAGCAGGAATATTTTTATTTTTTAGAGATTTATCAATATTCGGTAATTTGAGTATATTCTTTGTTTCAAATGATAAATGCCCAATATTTTGTGAATCTTCATTTAATTGTTCAAAATCTATTTTTCTTAGAATTTCTGCATCTCGAAGTTCTTTACGTAGAACACGTGTAAATGCAGCAAGAAATAATGGATCTTTTGCACTAAGAGATAACTGTGGATGAGTATTTTGTATTTGTTCAATGATTAATTTTGGATCAGTAGTACTTTGTTTTAAACAAGATTCGAGCTGAATAAAAGAAAAAGAAAATTTCAATGAATATTATTTTCTTCTGTTTGAATTTACTAATTTTAATGATGGTGATGTTTTGTTTTCTTGTTGAATTGATAATGAAGAATAAGCGAGTTCTTGTAAGAAGTGAATTAATTCATTCTATGAAGATTTTTTCGAAAACTAGAAATGAATATTTTTGTATAATTTGATTCTTACAACTTCTCGATCTAATATTGCTTTTGAATTTATTGTTATACTTTTATTAGAAAGAGTTTGATCTAATGAAGATGAGATATGATCATTTGTAAATGGTTTTTTAGGTGAAGAAAAAGTTAAAGATATTGGTTCTTGTATTAAATAATCATCATTTTGAGACTTTGATTGTTGCATTATATCATTTATATCTGGAATTTTTTGTGCATTATTTTGAGGTTCAGTTTTAATGAACATTGATGGAGTTGATATATTCGAGAATGATTCAGAGATTTGATTGATTGATTTATATGTAAATATTGGTTCATTGGAACTATTTATCTGTTCAGTACTTTTTACTACTGTAGATATATTATTTATAATATTTTCTGAAGGTTGTGAATAAGATAATGAACTATTAATTGGAGAAAAAGATTGATCAACATGAATGGAAGTTGATGTAGATGATGGATCTATTCAAAATAAAAAACAAAAAACAATCATTCTTTATTTTATAAAAGTTGAAATGATAATTCAATAAGATACTTTGCTTAGACATAGATTCCATTAATACTGATAGTTGGTGATGTTCTAGATGGACTAGTTTTGATTCAGAAGGCAAAGAACTTTTTTGTTCTTCAAATTTATCCGATAGTGAAGATAATAGAAATGGTTTTGTCGATGAAGATGTTGATGATAGATAACGTGGTAATAATACAGGTTCAACAAATTGTGTGTAGGTGTCCGAAATAATATTCAATTTCGGATTATTTTGTTGATCAGGCATAGACAATGAAGATTTTATTTGATCTTGTTCATATTTTTCGATCATAGATTGCTTTTCATCAAGTATAGACAACGATTGAGATAATTCTTTATTTTTTGAATTAAGATCTACATTGATTAATTTTGTTGATATCGATGATGTTGTTTCTATAGTCTATTTAATACAAAGAAAAAAAAATTTGTCTCCTAAACTTTGTCTAAATATTCACTGGCGTTATAATTTGTTGTGAATGTGATTGACATGATGTTAATTTATCATTTTCGACAGTAAGATTATTTTTTGAGACATCAGATTGTTCAAGAAGAATTTTTGCAATTGAATTTTTAAATATCTGTTGTATTTCATTAATATTGTTTATTTCATTATCTGTTCGATTAGAATATAATGATGTTATAGGTATTTGAGATTTTATCATTGTTGATATTAACGGTTTACCAAAGAGTAAAAGAAAATTTTTATTTGTTTCTAATTTAATACTTGTTGGTTTCATTAATTGATTAAAATGTGTTAATCGGTAATTTTGTATCATTTGTAAACGTTCCTAAAATAAATTTATTTTAATTGATTATCAAATATTGAATATAATTTACCCAATTAATTGCACATATGGATTCTAATTTATGAAAAAGACAAATACAAAGTAAAAAGAAATTATTTTTTGTTCCATTTTCTACAATAATACTAAAATCTTCTTGAATTATTCGAAGATTTTCATGTAACCACATGGATATATATTCATTAAGAATATAATTAAATAATGGTTTTTCTATTCATTCAATGACATTCGATTTTCATCTTGTTTTTATTAAATTAAAAAAAAAAAATTTTTTACTTTGTAGAAAATTGCCTTGAAGAATATAATCAATAGCTGCCATTGTATAAACTATCGCACGTTTTGATGTCATTGAATCATTTGCAATTTCAAGTGCTTGCTCATAAGATATTTTACATATATAACGAATAAGTGAAATTAATTTTTTTGTATGATTTTTTCCATTCCGTAATAATGTTTCACGTCGAATAAGATCTTTATATATATTTGATTTTAATCGATCTAAATAATCATTGACTGATAAAATAAAATCTATATCTAATTTTGTTTGTTTTATTGAATTATATAAAACTAAATAGAATATGAAGTTTTAGAAAATATTTTATTTTTTCTTTGTATTTATTCTGATAATGTACTAGGTATTTTTGTGTATGATTGATCAATAATATTATAAATATGTTCGAAATCGATTTTAGATAATTTTTGTTCATCCATTTCGTAATTTTCAATCAATTGGAAATGTTCTGATTTTTGTTGATCTGTTGAAGATTGATGTTCAATCATTTGTTCATTTATTCGTTTTGTTGATACGAATTCAACGGGAGTACTAATGATATCTTTTATTTCCGATGTTATACTTTTCATATTTGATTCTTTTATCGGATTGATCGATGGACGATTCGAGTTAATCGATAAACGATTATATTTATTTAAACAGTTATGTGAATCATTTATATGTGAGATATTCGATGTCTTAAAAAACAATCAATTGATATAAAATAAGCTTCTCACAAGAGAAGTTTTTCGATTAATAAATGACTTTTGAGTTGAGACTATGTACATGATACAGATTTCAATGAGCTATGAATATTCTGAAAAGAGCTCGTGTGTTCTTAGCTTATTGTTGTGAAGATGCTGTAGTTGTGCAATATTTTTTTTAAACGAATGCTGCAGTCTTCTTAAGAACACAAGAAAAACTAATTTTTGAATTTCTACTTGAATTTTTGCATGAAGACAAATTCTAACAAGAATAGTTTATTGTGAATGTTTCAGATATTTTGATTTTCTTCTACACAGAAGTACTATCGATACATATGAGCTACGTATGTAAAAGACACGTTATTATCATAATTGTATTTTCTTAGAATAGGAATAACGACAATATCTGAAATATTCACAAAAAATGTCTACTCTTATTAAGGTCTGTCTCTTTGTAAAATTTCAAGTCAAAATTCGAAAATCCGTTTTCCTGATGTTTTTGAGAAAGATCACAGCATTCATTTAAAAAATATCGTTAACTTGTAATATTTCTCGAGCAATAAACTAAGACCATCAACTCATTTCAGGATATTTGTAGTTCATTTGTGTCTATATAATGTATATAGTTTCGAATCAAAAACGATTTATCAGATAAAGAACCCTCTCTCGTCAGTGTTAATCTTACTTGACAAGACGTTTTGTCAATTTGTTCCCTTGTTGATATATTTATTGATTGATGTGAATTAATAGATACAGTATTATTATCTACTATGATGTTTTCATCATAATTATCTTCATCAATACAAGTTGAACATTCACAACTATTACATGAACAATCTTCATCATTATCTGAATTTGATTTTTGATGATTGTTAAATTGTAGATGAACCGTATTTTTACTTAAATTTGTTTTGATATCATTAACAAATATATTTTCATGAGTAAACATATTCTAAGAAAAACGACATATTATGTTATAAATGTATTGAAAAATGAGAGAATTTGATTTGTGTAATAGAAATTTAAAAAAAATTCATATTTTATTTTATAGAAAAATCCATAGAAACAAACATAATTCGCTTTTAAAAATCTCTTTAATAGAAATTTTGATTATCTCTTTCGAAATGCCTTATTGTTGTGAAACTGTTCTTAAACCACATATATTTAATCGTACGAATAAAACACATTGCAAATATTCATTAGAAGAATATCGTTCTCAATGTTGTGTACCAGCATTTTCAATTCAATCACATCAACGATGTTCATTGGTTTGTTCTCCAATACGTTTAGATGCGTTTAATAAACGATCATTTCGTTCAGAAAAATTTCGACTATTCTATGAACGTGGTGATCTTCCATGTACTATTCATCATACAACAAAAGGACAATCTTTAAAATGGTTTATTGATAATATAGAAACATTAAATATTGATTATTATTTACCAATTTTTACTGATGGGTTATGTGAAACAAAATATCCGCATAGTTTTATTGCTTTACAAGGTAAATAACATTTTATTTAAGCTAATGAAATCGTTGAGTTGTTTTTTTTTGTTTGTTTTAAATAAGGTATTTTAGATTTACTTGAACATGCTTCACATAAGATTGATATTGAAACACTTTCAAAATTGATTTTACCACTTAAACGTGCTCTATATACAAATGATTCAATTGTTATTAGTCGTGTTTTACTGGTTCTTCAAAAATTAGCTCGTGGTAATGATGGTGCTATTGGTATTGCTTTAGTACCTTATTTTAATCAACTTTTACCTATTATTAATATTATTAAAGAACGTAATGAAGGAAAATTTTATCAAAATCAAAGACAATGTTATATAATTGATGATTATAAAAAAAATATTTCAAATGAACTTGTTCGTCTTATTGATAAAACATTAATTGTACTTGAACGATTTGGTGGACAAGATGCTTTTATTAATATTAAATTTTCAGTACCTACTTATGAACAACAAGCTGATGTAAAACAATTAACTACTGCTCAAATTGATACGATGGTACAACCACTCATGGAAATTTAACGAAGAAATTTCATTTTTGAATATTTCTATCTAATTTATTTCTTTAGAATAAAACAGAATGTTTTATTTCAAAATTTAAATACAATTCGATGTACGATTTTTCTATACTGTGACACTAAGGAAAGAAAACGTCATGAATGAGAGTTTTTTTTTTCTTAATTGATCTAAATAAATGTCATAAGAAATGTACTAAATGTCATTCACATTTGAAAAGTGACTTCTGAAAAAACCTTCATTGATTAAACATCAGACATATTGTTTATTCAAGTTCTCTTTAACTAAGTTCATCTTGAATATGTTGTTTAATGAGACTTTTTCAAGGTACTGAAACAAATGGAAAGCATGCGAACAAAATCCAAAAATTAAGAATGATACAAATCTTCCACATGTACTTTCTATCGAGAACAATACTAATCTACTATTCATTTAAAAAGTTGATCGACTTAATTGTTTTGCGAATAACTAAGACATGGAAATAATTGACACTGCATTTTTCAGTATTTCAATCAAGACAGGCAACTTTATTAAACCATTTAAAACTTAAAAAAAACAAGCAGTGGCCAATATTGATCAATTCTCAGTGACCATTTTCGGAATGATGCTCAAAAAAATTTTCCCATTAGATATTGATATTCAAGATAGTCATTAAATAGAGAAAATCAAAAAATCTTTCGTTCTAGACAAGGTCAACTTCTTCAGACGGCTTCGTTGCCATGTTATAAGTCTTATTCTCAGACTCCTGGAATCGATGGATTAACCGCTGGTCAGTCTAAAACGAGCTGAAGTAGAAGGTTTTGACTATGTTAAAACGGCAGATAGTGTCTGTTTTTTATTTTTTGAATCAACTGAAAGTAATCAAACTAATATTGTGAAAACAAATTGTTCCCATGTAAAACTTAATTGAAGCTACCAATTTTGAATTTTTAGTTTGATGTTTTCATGTTGCCTTATAAACTGAAACAAGCACCTTCACTCGTTTTAATATGATCAAAACCTTCAATTTCGAGGGTTTTAGAAGAAAACTTATAATATGGAAATGAAACCGTTTGGAAAGATCAACCTTGGATAGATCGAAAGGCTTTGATTTTCCCTTCGTTTAAAAAGCGCTTACTAAGAACAGAACAATATTGACCTCTGCTTGGTTGTTTGATTTTTATATGATTTGATAAAGTTTTCTGTCCTCTTTCAACTACTGAAAATTGCAGAGCGCCAACTGTTTCTATGCCCACGTTATTTGTGATACAATTACGTTCATTGACTTTTTGGATGAATAATCGTTTTCGAGTATAGATTAAATTATATTCAAATTCTATCTTAAGGAAAGCGAGTAATTTATTCATTGAAATCAGTGAGAAACAAATTTGAAGTGAACATGTTTACAGTAAAATTTTTATCGAACAAATTTATAAAAGACGAAAAAAATTATTCTTATTAGGAACTCCGATGATGGAATGCTGGTTCAATTAAACATTGTAATAATTATCGTAAGTTATATTCATTTTTCTTTTGCGCAATTCATATATATTTTCGAAGAAAATAGTGAGTATAAGTTTTCAGGCAAAGTTTTGCAGCTGACGTCCTTCATTCCGTTTCCATTAGAATCTTTAACAGCCGAGATTAAAGACATTGTGCGATATTAATAAAAAGGTTTAGAAGATTCTAAAACATTTCAGAAAATTTCTTGACACTTCAATGACTGGAATACATTTTTCAATGTTCTAAATATTGCAGTTTCTGAATTTTGCGTAGGTAAAAGATTATGTTTAAAATATTGACACACATGGGTAGTGATGCATTCATTTTCAATAGTTCTTATATGATCAACATAAAAAGTGTGAATTGATCAAGTTATAGTTTTTGAAAACAATCAACATCAGTGTTTCTGAGCTAATCGACATATCTAATAGTGTGCCAGATCTGCTATTATAAATATTATGAAATTGTTAATTAAGATTCTTTTTTTTATCTATTTTATATTGAATTGAACGACATAACAATTAAACTGTATCATATCAATTGTTTGAACATCTAGCTATGATGAATNCGAGCGTTTTCGTTTTTGATGTTCCTACTCGGAGTTACAGGGTCGCGAAAGCCAAGACCCGAAACACAAACTCAAATCTTGGCGTATTTTTCTTATAAAAAAAAAGGAAGTGAGATTTTTGGAAATCCTTAAATTTACCTCTGAGGAATAGTGTTGAGTATCTATAAACAAAATTTCAGCCCAATCGGACAAAATTTAATGGGGGTCGTAATGTATCAGGATGCGGACCTCTGGAAAACCAGAGTTTTCCTGAAAACCTCATAAAAACTTAATTTAAATTTTTTTCCTCGAACATGTATCTCGTTATTTTTGATGTTCTATCTGTGCTGAAAATTTGAGCTTGATCGGTCGTACCGTCTTCGAGAATCAGAAAGTGTCAAAAAGAGGAGGGGGGGGGTACCCTTAATTAATTCTATTATGATTAGTTTTCTTTTTCTGTAGCTTTTGATACTGAAACAGGTAGATTGAATTATTTCTTTGTTTATATATATATATTTTTTTTTGTTTAAAAAATATTTTCATTTGAAGGAATTCCTTATGGTACAGTAAATTTAGTTTGGGGTGTACCAGTAGGTGAAACAAATATAACATGTACTGCTGGTGGTGGAACATTTTTAATCGAATTTGGAACATTATCTCGTCTTACCGGTGATCCAAAATATGAACGGGCGGCATTAAAAGCTTTACAAAGTCTTTGGTCAAAACGATCGTCAATCAATCTTGTAAAACAAAACAAAAAAAAACAAGAAAATAATTTAATTAAAAAAATTTACAAATGATATATTTAGATAGGAAATCATATAAATATTCAAACAGGTGAATGGACAGCAAATGATTGTACAATTGGTTCTGGTGTTGATTCTTATTTTGAATATTTAGTAAAAGGTGCAATTTTATTTCAACAACCAGAACTAATTAATATGATGAATGGTAAATAAATTTAATATTTAATTTATTATTAAATTAAAATTTTTTAGAATATATTAAAGCAATCGATACACATATGAGTGATGGAACAGGTTGGTTTGTTTTTGCAAATTATCAACAAGGTCGAAAAACAATGCCATTATTTGCATCACTGGATGCTTTTTATCCAGGTTTGTTGGTGAGATACATTCAAATATATACATCTATATTTTTTCGTTGGTGAATATTTCTTCTTTTAATATATATTTGCATTAATATTAACATGAGTCTGTATTAGAGATGTGCAGAGCAGACTTCTTTTTTTTGCCTAAAATGTAACTTGATGGAGAAAATATTTCTAAGCTTTACTCTATTCTACACATCTCTAGTCTATATTCATTATTAATTATTAATATTCTTATAATCGTGATTTTAATTTGTGTAGACATTGCTTGGCAAACTTGATCGAGCACGTGAAACTTTATATGCATATCATACAATGTGGAGAAAATATGGTTCAATGCCAGAATTTTATAATCTTGCCCAACATGATTGTATGCAAGGAAGAGAAGGTTATCCATTAAGACCAGGTAGAAAACAAAAAATAATTTTCTTCTTCAATTTATTCAATTATAAATAATTCGTGTTATTTTATTGTTAAAATCTTCTAGAACATATTGAATCAATAATGTATTTATCAAAAGCAACTGATGATGATACATTATTATTTATGGCTGCTGATATATTTGATGCAATTGAATCGTGTTGTAAAACTTCATGTGGATATACATCGGTAAATGAATTTTTTATTCTTGATTGAAAAACAAAAAATAAAAATATTATTTTTTAGTTAAAAAATGTAAAAGATCATCGTCTTGATAATCGTATGGAATCATTTTTTCTTGCTGAAACAGTAAAATATCTTTATTTAATATTTGATGAAAATAATTTTTTACATTCAAATGGAGAATATGCTACAGACCATCGAACATCATTCGGTAAATTTCAAATATTCATTTTTGTGATTTTGTCTTTTTTTTTTAATATTATTTAATATTCTTATATAAATAGGTTCATGTTTTCTTGATACGGGTTATATTTATAATACAGAGGCACATCCGATTGATATTGGTTCACTTGATTGTTGTACAAGATCATTAATAGATGAAAAATCATCGGATAAAATGGACAAAAATTTATTGGTAAAGATAAATGAAACAAAAAAGTTATTTTAGTTTTTTTTTTAATTTTTAGACAAAGAAACAAATGAGATGGTTAGGAAATTCATTATTAAATCAAGATAAAGATGAATTATCTGGTGCAATAAAGACAAATTATAGTTTATTAACATGTTCAGCTTTAACTTTTGAACAGCGTTTTTCTCTTTATGGAGAAATTTTAACATGAATTTTGCTTTTGTTATTGATATTATTTTTGAGGGATAGTAATCATTTTAAATAGAGAAAACGAAAAGCTATTATTTGTTGTGTTTTTCAGATTGAATTTTTTCTATAATGTGGCAATTTATTAAGCGACATCGTCGAAAACTTTTTATTATATCATTACTTACGGGAGGTAAATTTATTTCTTTTATTTAGTTTATATACATATAAAATGCCTTGAACTAATTTAATTTTAATTCAATAGAAAAAAAAAAACGATTAATTCTACTTCAAAGAATTATTTTTAATCATTAAAAAAAAAAAAGCTATTTTTTCAAATGTATAGATAAAAAGTGCACGAGATTCATAGACAAAAATATTTTCTCTTAATTTTTCTGAATTCTTAATTTAAATCGTTTTGTTTTTAAATAAAATCATAATCGAAAAAATCGTTTGTCTTCATGATTATTTATTCAGTAAAATAATTATGAAATTGTAGTTCATCTAGTCATTTCTTTTAATAACTTTATAACATTCAAGAGAACAACCATAGAATCATCGAGTACAACTCATATATGCGAATTACTCGTATACCTTTGATTTTTTTTTCAAACATATTGATAAAACTTTCATACGAACCCGACAAACTCAAATTTTTCTCTTATTTCGATGTTTTACATTAATGTTAGTCTTGTTCGACATTTCAAATGATATATTATTTCATAGATATTTACTAGAACTATCCTTTCACAAGAGAGTTTTTTCATGCAATATATCAAAAGATAAGAGCATCAACAAATGGAAAAAAAAAATTAGTTGTTTAAAATCTTATACATCATCTATCTACCGAAATTATTTAGTCCGAAGACGAATGGAAAAGGTCGAAATTCATCAGCTGTAACCTTCGATTTTCGAGAGTGTATCTACTGCCATTTATTGAACTCAACGAATGTCAAGTTGAATTATTCATATATGTTATGTATTTTGTAATTCTGTACAGAATAGTAAAAAGAAAAGTATTGCGAAAGAAAGTTTGCATTTGAAGCGAAAAAAAGCTACTCTAAATAGTCAAATGAATAGCTTTAAGAAAAACAACGTCAGATGCTTAGGTGTCCTTCATTCATGAAAATTTTCATCTCTAAAAATAAAATCAAACTTCAAGCTAAATATAATGACACAAAGCATTTCTCTCTCAAAAAGAGAAAAAGAAATTGTTGGTCTCACTACACATTCGAGGTCGATACGGAAACTTCAAGACAACGTTTTTTTCTTTTTTCATGAAATCGAATAATAATCATTCAGCGAGGTAATGATTAAGATGCTGATCACAGACCTATGATCAAAGTCCATTGTTGATTGTAACACAGCTGCTGTATCAAGGGCAACCTTATAATGCAGCGTATGAGGTTCTATGGTAAATATATGACCTAAAGGGGAAGACAGTACACTACTAAATTACAATTAATAATGGATTTTGATCATATGTCTGTGATGATTATTTTAATCTTTATCTGTCTAAATGATTATTATTCGATTAGATGAAAAGAGAAAAACTTCTCGAAATTCTTATATTTTTCTCATTTTTTTTCGAGAGTATTGTCCATGTCATTCTATTCAGCTTGACGTCTGAATTATTTTGAAATGAAATTTTTCATGAATGAAGGACATCAAAAAGTGCCACACTTTATTTTCTTCTAGACTGCTCACTTGACTATTTATAATATAAATCTTTTTTCGCTTCGAATACAAACTTTTTTACAATATGTTTTTTTTATTACTTTGTACAGAATCAAAAGTTACATTACATATAAACAAACTCAATTTGATATTTGTTGAGTTGAATTCAATAAATGGCAATTGACATGCCGCCTAAAATCGAACGTTAAAACTGGTGAATTCTGACTTCTCTTTTCATTTTGTATTATATAATTTCGGTATGTAGATGATATACAATATTTTAACTAGCTCGTTTTTTTAATCTATTAAGGATCTATGTTTTAGTATATTACATGGAAAAATTCCCTTACTTGTGAAAGTATAATACAAGTAAAAATCTATGAAACAATGCATTATTATTCTGTTGATAGTGAAGAGTAATACATTTAAAAAGTTGATCAAGGCTAACAATAATGTAAAACATCGAAATAAAGTAAAAGGTTGAGTTTAATGGTTTCGGACGAAAGCCTTTCGAATGCACATTAAAAATAAATCAAATTTTGATAAGTGCCTCCGTTGCTTAGCCCTCTTATGAGCTCTCTCTCTATTAATGTGTTACAATTCAAAATTCAATAGTTATTTCATTTATTAAACATTTCTTATGACGAATGATATATTGAACTTTAAATATGTGATTCAGTAATGATAAATTTTTAATTGATTTACATATTTATATAAATATACTATTTTTTTTAATGTTCAGGTGGCTATGCAGCATTTCGTTTTATAAATGGAAAATTATCAACAATGTTAAATGATCAAGATAAAATGTTGACAGAATGGAAAAAACAACTTTATTATGAACATAATCGTGATACAAGTTTAAGAACAAGTTAGTTGAAAATAAATCATTTTTGTGTACTCAAAAAGTGAGTACACTCTAGAATCGGTCAGTATGTCCGGCCGTCCGGCCGTCCGTCCGTCCGGCCGGCCGTTTACACGATAACTTTCGAAAGGAGAGTCCGATCACGATGAAATTTTCTACACAGTTCAGTCTTTACAATATCTCGGTCGAGTTCGAAGATGNAAATACTTTTACCTTGAAAGAATTGATTGAGTAGCTTTTCGAACATCATGCAACAACAGCAGCTGGTGGTATATCAGCAACAAGCAAATCATCTCATGCTGAACTAAAATTTAAATAAAAATAAAAACAAAAACTATAATTATTTTTTTTTAAAAGTCAACTCAAGATCATAGTTCATTACTTTCACGAGATGTTCAATTAGCTTGTCTCGATGTTATTCGTTATACAACAGATGCAGGTTAGAATTTTTTTTTTTCGAATATCAAAATTTATGTGTACGATTAACGGTCGACGAATTTACTTTCTGTTGATTATTTTGAAGAAAAGAAATGAAAAAAAAAACTAGTAGATATTACGACAATCAATACATTGTCAGAATAAAAATCCCAATAGATTTCTCGAAATATAATATAACACCATTCACAATTAATCATTTAGAAGGTCAATTTTCTCGAATGAGAGGGGAAAAAACCATGTAAATTCTCTACATCCAAATATTTATATTGAGATTAATTCACTGCAAAAAAAAAACAATCTTGAGCATTGATTACAAGAATACGAGAGCTACAATTCCATAATGTCGGAAACATAAAATCATAACAAGTGAATGTTTAATAATATTTTGACTATTGTTATGATAAAGATCTTATAGATATTTCAGCGTTCTTGAAAGTTGCTAGATTGGATATTTTCTCGGTCTATGTTTTTTGTTTTTACAAAAACATTGGTTATGAAAATGTCTATTGATTTTTCTTCTTTGAAATAGTGAACAGATAATAAATAATGTAAATCGTCAAAATTCATTTTCTTTCTTTATTTATTTTTTTGCGTTTTTAGGAATGAATAGTTTGATTGATGATGTTCGAAAAGCTACTCAATCAATTCTTTCAAGGTAAAAGTATTTATTTAAATTTTATGTTTAAATTTATTCTTGTATTAATTAGAATTCCATTACAACAAATGCTTGATATAAATGATATTATGTGGTATTGTAGTGAAATTCGTCATCAAATTGAAAAAAAACGATATCAATCATTTAATAATCATCATCCATTACTTAAATATGTTCGATCAATTTCATTACCAATACGATCAACACAACCAGCAACAACGACAACATCAGCTTATTCATTTTCAAATCCTATAACAACAGTAAGTTGAATTTTTTGTTTTTTTGTGTTAAAAAATATATTTAAAAATAAAATAATAGACTAGTTCATTGACTACAAAACGAATACATTCACCATCATCAGTTTATAATGTTCAAGAACAATTTGAAGTTGAATGCATTGAAATGATTGAAAGGTATTTTTTCTTATTTTTAGAATATTTTATTAATTTATTGAAAATTCAATTTTATTTATATATATCTAGTGAAACATTTCAACGTGTATTAATTCAAATAATTGATCAAAGTTTTTCAAATATTTATGATGAATTTGCTCGAGAAATGGCTAAAGCATCATCAGCAACAATTAATTTATCGGAAAATAATTTGTAATAACATATATTCAAATATTTATTATTTTTTTATTTGACTATGTTTTTTTTTTTTTACAGAAATGATTCGACGATAATTAACGAAGCACAAATACCATTTGCTAAAATAGTTCCAATATGTAATAATATTTATACAAAATTATCAAGTCATCATGAACAACTTATGCTTCATTTTCAGGTCAGATTTTTTTAAACAAATTTTAGTATTTTAGATTAAATTCAATTTCAAAGTTTGAAAGTTTCAAAAGATAAAGAATTTTATTTAGGAAAATGTTTTTTTTTTTCTATAAGACATTCCAACTAATATTAAATATAAAGAATACTTTATATTCTTTAGTGATTTTAAATAGGAATCAACAACAAGTAAAAGTTTTATTTTATCAATCGAATGATAATAAAATTGAAATATAAAATAATCAATAATATGAACCTAGTTATCGATTTTCTAGAAGTAAATGAGAAGAAAAAAGCATCTCTACTATCACTCAAGATTCTTATGAATCTTGAGTGTAGCTTTATAAAATAAGAAATATTCGATATTAATTTTTTTTTCTTGAGAATTTGCTGTAATATTGAGTAATTTATAGATCTATAAAATGGATTAAAATCAAATCGAGCTTCTGTCATAAACGAATAGTAAAACCAGTCAAACTTTCTCCGTTATCTAGATAAAAGTTTCAAAAGAGTTTTTATGAAGGTTCATAGTGATTACATATATATGCCCTTTGATTTTATTGTTATGTAAATCATAATACGTTAATATTCTATCTTATAATTGATATTGTAACTAGAGTTTCTTACAGTTTTATAGTACAGAGATCAAATGCGCACGTCCGTTTTAGATGATTTTGTTTTCGCCGTTTGGTAGGCGCAGTATTACCACTAGAGATATGCAGAATCAAGTTTCTTTTGGTCCCAGTAAGTTTAGTTTTTTGAATTCTGGTACACATCTCGAGAAAGCTATTTTAAAATTCATTTTTATCACATCTACAAACATTCTTTAGTATTCATTGTTTTTATTTCTTTAGTGTTGAGAACCAGTACTTTTTAGACCACCTCTCCTGAATAATATCTTCATTAGTACCATTTATAAGATAATTCCCTTAAAACCATGAAACATTTAACTCCAATCTTCAATTCCGATTGAGACAATTTTTTTTTCTCGTAGTCTTGTTCTCGATCTCGGCAGCTTCTCTTTCCTATGACTTTAGTTTCAGGGGTCAGAACTGGAACTAAAGTTAATTCTGCACATCTCTAATTACAATCGTAAGTGGATGGATATTTGATTTGCAGATCTTTTGATGACCGTCATTCACTACGATAAGATACATTGATAATACTGCGATTACCAAACGTCAATTAACAGCTATGAACGACTGCAAACTGTATGAAACAACAATACATAAGACTATTTTCATTGTTTCGACGAATGTAATCATTGTCCTAAGTAGCTAACGAATTTCCTATCGAATAATTTGATGATAATTTGATCTTTTGAAATAGATTAAAAATTCTTGATTATTTCATCTTGATGTAGTTAAACTAAAATGAACTATTTGATTCAGTAATATGTATTAAATTATTATTTTTTATTTCATACATATTACTGAATGATATGAAAATAAAATTCTCTATCTTTTGTTCATCTTTTATCGTTAATTTAATAATATGAAAGAAAAAAAAAAACAAATCTAAATAAATAAAGAGTAAAATTCTAAATTAAATTCTTTTATTTTAAAGAGTCTTGCATGTCGACCAGAATTACATGAATACACAAAATATGCATATGATTTATTTTCCAATGAGTCATTACAATCAGCAAATCATACAGCTTATTCATTTTTACCATTAGCATCATCATCATCTTTACAATCTAGTTTATCATCATTTTTACAATCATTGATGTCTCGATAAACTAACTAATTCGTCATTTACTTACTTATGAACATTTTCAAAATAAAAATCATTTGTGTGTATTAAAAAAAAAAAAAAAAAAATTTCTTTTTTTTTTTCTGTTTTATTTAAGTTGGACAACGAAGAAGAATTTGAAATTTTTCATTTTTTGGTACACGATTAAGTATAAGACGCCCATCATAACTAAGAGATGCTAATAACCAAGGATCATTTGATGCCCATTGAGCAGTATAAACTGATTCTTCATGTTCATCAAATACACGTACAAGACGATCTTCACTTACTGTTTCTTCCATTTCTTCCCTTTAAAGAAATTTTGAAGAAAATATTTTTTTTTTGTTTTTCTTTTGATAAAATATTACTTTGAATCATCAGATACATTTAAACTTCCATACGGTTCTGATGATAGACTAGCTATATTGAATAGCATAACACGAGTATCACTACTTGATGTTACTATAAGTTGATCATGAAAACGATTGTATCGTGCTGACCATACCCTAAAAAATAAATAAAAAATATCCAATTTTCAAAAGTCTATTTAACAAAATCTTTATCCTTTTCCTCGCTTAAGATTTTAGTTAAAATTAAATATATTTCCTTCGTATAGTATTTATTCTATAGTTACAGTTGTGTTGATAATAAACATAATGGAAAAATTGAGAAAAGAAAGGAACATCAGACAAGGTAGCATAAGATATTTATTTAAAATCAATCATGTTTTTTTTTTATATCTGTCTATAAAAATCATCATATGTTCCATTATTAAGATTCGATCACATAAGATCTAATCTTTAAACTTTTGAACTAAATATTTTGTTTAAATATAAAACAAAACAAAAAAGGTAAAAAGAGGCTAACCAATGAGAATGATCAGTTAATATTTTCAAACATTCATTAGGTTTTCGTACATCCCAAAATTTAACTCGACAATCATCTCCACATGTCATTAAATGATATTGACGATTAGGATTATAATCAATATCACGAACATATGGTGGATGAGCATTATCAATTGAAAAAGAACATCTAAAAAAAAATAAAATATTATTTTCAAATAATTAAAAACAAAAACCGATAAGGCAAACTTCATTGATCTTAAATCCCAAGCACGTATATGAGGTCCAAGAGTAGTTGCTAATTGATTAGTACTTATATGTGGATTCCATCGACAACAAGATAATTTATTAAGTGCACCACTTTTTGAATCAATTGAACCAGTTGATAAGATTTGTGGTGAATCATGTTGTTCGACATTCCATATATAAATATTTGTTTCACTTATTGTTCCTATTCGTTCACCATTTGTTTCCCATTCAACACTAAACAAAACAAAAGACATCTATTTATCATGTTATTTTTCTCGTTCATACTCAATTATATTTGAATGAGGAACATTTAAATCAAATCTTTTTCGTAATGGTTGATGAAGTTGATTTGATGAATCATCAATTATTGGAGAATGTGGTTCATCATTTGTAGAATCTATTGGAACTTGCCATACTGTACATTTACTAATAACATTGGAATCTTTAACTAAAAAAAAGGTTATTTATAATAATATCCTAAATAGAATATATTTTTCTTTTTACTAGTTTGATATATCGTTGCAAAATGACGATGATCATTTGGTGATGAAGCCATACGCCAAATTTCTCCAGCTCGATGAGAATAGATTGACTTTCCTAATATACCTGATTCTTCATCATATTCGAGAAAATGAACCTAAAACAAAAAGAAAATAATAAAATATAGCGAAAAATTCTATTTTTCTTTTTTCCGATTATTTTTTACTTGATTTTCAAATTTAATTGATTGAGTACCAACTAGAAAACGAACTGTATCATCATCTTGTATACCACTAACTGCACATAATGCTCGAACCTATTATTAAAAACAAAATTTTCCAAATCACATGGCATATTTATTTTCTTACTTGAAATTCCACACCATAAATCAAGGGTGCTTCATCATCATCAACCATTTTGTTTGATATTGATTTACGATGATTGATCAATATCTGAAGAAAGAGAACAAACGAGAAAAGAAGTGAGTTTTTTTATTTGCACTTGTTTCTTTCTTCCTGTTAAATGATTGTCTGATATTGTCATTATAGTCGTTCTTTAAATAAGCCGATTACTACGACCGTAAGCGAAAAAGAAAAAAAAAGAATATACGGGGACTATTTCTGTAAGTGTAGAATTGTGTAGGAACACAAAAAGAAAGAAAGAAAGAAAGAAAGAAAGAAAAAAGAAAGTTGAACAAATGTCTCGATACAACTTCTATATAAGTGATGAACTTTATTCTAGATTTTTTACTCTTTCTTTCATCTATTTGATTATTTATTGATGAATTTCTTGTCAAACTACATTTAATAATGACTAACAAGGACAATGAATCTTCGACTGATACGGTGATTATTGAATCAAAAACTTTATCATCACATGAAAATAATTCAACAATGTTATCTACTGTCTCATTAAATAATTCCACTAATGAAGAACAATCTATCCAAAATACTAATCATGATCAAAATAATGGTTTTATTGAAAAAGACTCTCAGGATAATCAATTAATAGAAGTTCAAACAGAAGAAAAAAAAGGACAACAACAACTAGACGAACAACAGCTAGATGAACAACAATTAGACGAACAACAACAAGAAGTAGAAGGTGAAGATGATGAATTCATTCGTATAACTGCAGCTCATCAAATGTTAACTGAAGGTAAATTAAGAAGAAAAAAAAGGTAAAAGAAAACGAAAACGAAAATTATTTTTAGCACAAGCATATGACGAACAAAAGAAATATCCCGCTGCATTACATCTTTATCGAATATGTGTTGATCTTCTTCTTGAAGAATTAATGTTTACTGAAGGTACAGAACAATCACGTGTTTATTTACGTGAAAAATGTACAGCTATTATGGATCGTATTGATGTACTTAAAACAATGCTTGAACCAATCCCACCAGCATCATCTCCACCACTGTCAGCATCACCTCCACCACCGCCAGCATCACCACCACCACCACCACTAATGCTTACAGACACAACAACAACAACAACAACAACAAATGAAGAAGCAACTAACCCACCTACCGACGAATTAAACTCTCTTAATTTATCTTAGATTTCTAGAACAAAAAAGAACAAAATAGCCGAAATATATATTTAGGTCAATCGTCATTTGTGTGTTTTTTTTTATTCAAGAACATTCCATGTATTAGTTAGACAAAAAAAACCAAACGCTTCTTGTTAGAATTCTTTTTTTTTCTGTTTTATTTCAGCTTTCCCATTTCTTGCACGCTTATTTTGTGTATATAATAAAAAAAAACCACTAGCATAACAATATGAGAAATAAAATGCAGACATAGAAATCAAAACTGATAATTATTATGGGAATAGTCAATCAGGGATAATTCAATTTTGTTTTCTTTCTATAAACTAAATAGTATATCGAAGGACTATGATATTTTATTTTCATGAATTCTTCCAATTCTTGAAGATTTACAATGTAGCTATTCAAGGGGGCATTGATTTCAAGATTATCATTATATTGACAACTTTATTTAAACTTATTTAAAACCGATATTAAATTGAAAAAAAAATAGGACACCGAAAAAACGTGAAAAATTACTTGAAAATCTACAGTAGAGTCTGTCAATAACTTTGAGAAGATCAGGAAAATTTCACTTATTATTTGCTCTTTATCTAATCTTAACCTTGCTCCGATGTACTATTAAGATTTCAGAAAGAAAACAAAATTGAGGTATTTCTGATTGGTCACTCACTCCTACATATGTGATGAATAACTTCAGAGATTCTTCAAAACAATAGAAAATAAAACGATCTAGAATAAAGATAAAGCAAAGTCGAAGAAAAACACCATAGATATATATATATATACAAATATGTCGAGCTCCCCAGTTGTATTTTGAAAGACAGACATAGAGAAAAAAAAATCAAAACACAATAAATCACAACTTATTGTCCACCCTGGGCAAAACAAATAATCATTGTCATACATTTTTAAATATAAACGGTCAATCTTTACCAGAAAAAAAAAAACATGAAAAATATTTTACCACGGGGAACAAATAAAAGAGACAAAAAATGATAAAAACAACTAAATATATTCACAGGTGTGCTTCCGAAAGTCTTTTATTTTTCTGTATTGAGCCTTATAGCAAGTATACATGTGATCACATCAACAAACAGCACATTATCATCGATTTTTACATAGCAGCTTGGACGGATTGACGCTAAAAGTTATTAATCAAATTCAATAGACATATAAATGCTTGAAAAATTTACCCAAATATTGAGAATATCAGTCACGGTATATTGAGGAGGTAGTTTAAATAGATAAGAAACAAATAATGTTGAGATTTGTTCAAGAAATGGATGACCATCTAAATAGATAAAATCAAATAATTTTTTTGTCTGATTTAATATTGATAAATTTATTAACTTTAAATTTCTTATTTCTTGAAAGAAAACAAAAGAAAATATACTTGACTAAAATTTAACATTATTCATTATTAGGCTTCATTCAAAATAAAACAATCTAAGATAATTAGTTGATTCAACATTGATAACTTGAACTGATTCCTATAGAAATTTTCAAGAATATTATACATTATTTAAACATTATTTTTGTCATTGCAATTATTTTTCTTAAAATTTTATGAAAGAAATCTCTTTATTTTTTAATATTTATCTGACAGTTTATTGAATCAATGGCTGATATAAAATAGAGTGTAAGATGAATAAGAAAAATTTGCATTTGAATTCAAATTGAATTGAATAATTTATCATTTGAAATTCTTTATTCAAAAACAAAACACAACCTTATTTTATTTTATTTATTTTATTACTTATAATTCTTTTATTCACTAATAAAGATTTTAATCAAATTTGATGTCAATAAATTCAATTCTTAACTGGTAATATTAACATTAATACTTTCAAATTAATTTATTCACTGATCAAGACACTCTAATCACTTCAAAAATGAAAGAAATTATTTAAATTATAAAAGTACTCTCTTTTTAAGAAGTCAAAATCATTCAAGATTATATCAATAACATGTAAATCAGATATTGTGTAAGCTTTTCTTAGAAAAGTTGTTTATCATTTCTTTTAGATTTATGATGAAAATAAAAGATTGCATTCAAGGTTCTATTAATTAATGTAAGCTTCGAAGATACTCTGTTTATTGATCTAGAGAGCATTTGTAATATTATTGATAAAACTTATTATTAAATGTTTAATTGGAGAAAAAAAATCTTTTTATTTACCTGTAAATTCAAGTTTTGGTGCCATTGATTTTGTTAATGATAAAATTTCTGGTTGTTCTTGAGGATAACGTGTTGAAATGCGTAGTCTTAATGATGGTATAAGAGGATTTGATAATTCTAATAATTTACATCGAACAATAATACCAGTTTTATTTAAATATTCATCATTGAGTTCATTATTGTTTATTGACGGTGATATTGGTAAATATTCAATAAAAAACATATTAGCTGGTAATAAAGCAAGTTCATCATTAAGATTAGATAATAATGATGATTGATTCAATGAAGAAAAATGTTCTGTTGTTATTCTTGGTCTATTTGAACTATTATCATTATCAAGACGAATTTTTCTATTCAGAAAAATAATTCAAAAAAAAAAAAAAAAAACAAGATTATTTTCTTTCTGTTATATATAAATAAACTAACTTATGTGGTACACCATTAATAACATCATTTAATGGTTCAATAAATAATTTACTTAAATAAAGTCGTTTTCTTTGATCACGTGAAATAAATTCATTAAGTCCTTTTTCAATTTGATTTAAATCACTTGTTTGCGTAGGTATTGAATTATTTGGTATTGTTGCATTTGGTACTGATGAATTCGATTGTTGTGATCGACTCTAAAGAATTTCTTTTTTTTTATTATTATTTAAGAAATATTTCAAAAATATATTCACAGTAGCTCGTTCAAGGTTATCACGGATATGTTTTGCATTTGCTAAACTTTCATAAGTTGGATTATTGATAAATTGAACCATTTGTTGATGAATAACTTGTGCATTACGAGCTTTGTCTGGATGACCTTTTTTTTTTTCAAAAAAAGAAACAAATAGAAATTTTATGTTTTTTCTTTTTGTTTGTAAACTTATTTTGAATTACCTTCATTAGTAAATTTTTGACATAATGCTTGTATTCTACCAATATTATCTTTAAGATATTTTATTAAATTGATGATTTCTTCGTCTGGACTTGAAATACTACCACTTCCTGAATATATAAGATTATTTAGTTATTAATTTTTTTTTCTTTCTTTGTAATTATTTTAATATGATTAAAATGTAGAAAAGTTAGATGACAAAAATTGATACATCTTTTGTTTAACGTTTATTATAATTATAAAATTAGTCGATAGAATTTGTTTGAAGAGTATTTATTTCTGTCTAGTGTGTCCATTTGATACTTTCAAACGATAAAGATATATATACTCATGAGTGTATGTAAAAGCTTATGGATCAATATTTTGTGTGAATTTAATCAAATAGCGCTTTTAAAATGAGCTGAAAATTACTCAAGGGCTCGTCTTATTGTTTTTGGAAGGAGGGATTAAACTGATACGAAATATTTAGTAAACTGATTTTATTTGACATATGATGTCAAGATATATTAATTCGAGTCATTAGAGATTAGATAATCTATACCAATTTTCAATATTTGATATAGATCTATTACACTTCTATCAACAATAGTTAGGTGAATTCATTTTCAAAAGTAACAAAACACTTTTTATGATTTAATTATTTAATTGAACAAGTGATAATCAAAACAGTAGTAATTGATACTATAATCAATGAGAAATATAACGATTTAAAAATGATATAGATTACAAATTGAATCAATCATAAATTTGTTCAAGTGAAAATAAAAATGAAATGTTTAACTAACAAATTATTTGATATTGAAATGAATAAAATAAATTAATTGAGATTGAATTAAATTTTTATAAATCAATTATTTCGAAATTTTAACTTGAAGAGATAATACATAAAATATTAACCTGTTAATGGTAATGAACGACTCATTGGTGATGAATAATTATTAAATGATGGTGTCGAATTATTCATTGTTATTGATGGTGGTTGTGGTATTATTTGTGTATTTGCCGAAAATGGACCATTGCTATTATTTAAAGGACTTTGTTGAACAGTAACATTACTGGATCTTTAAGAGTCGATTAAAAGAATCATTTTGTTTTTTAATTAAGAAAAAGAAAAATTTTACGGTTGAATTTGAACATTAGAAATTTGAGCTTGTGGTGTTGTTGACATTATTGTAACTGATGGTGAAGGTGATGGTTGTTGAGATATTAATGATGATCGAAGAGAATTTACACTGTTTGTCATATTACTGTTCGTAGTATTGACTGAACGAATTGGTTGTGGCTATGAAAACCAAAAACAAAGAATAAACATAAAATACTTAGCAGAACATTATTGAAACCATAAAGAATGCTTTTCAATTAAGATTTATTTCTTTTTTATTTCATTGATTTATCGAATTTTTCTATAGCTAAGGAAACATATATCCGTTTGTATCAGAAAAGAAAAAAGAAGATACAGTCACAAAAATGGAAGAAAATTTGTTAAATATTCTTTTGCTTTCAACAAATAAAATTTTTTCTAATTGTTTATACTTTAAAATTTGTATTTACGATTATCTTTGAAAAATATATATGATAAATTAAATATTAATAATAGAAAATCTTAATATCCGAGCAAGATCATAAATAGAATAAAATCTCATTAAAAAAAATAATTCGAGAATTTTCTCGGAGAGGATGTAAAAAATACGAATTTATTTTAAAAATTTTTCATTAACATACGATAATCGTTGATGTTGATTGTGATAAAGATGGTTGTCGATTTTGTATAGGCATTTTATTCGATGGTCCATCAGTATTAGACGAAAGGATTTGTTGTAATACTAAAATAATAATAGAGTTTTATTTATAAAAATAAAATTTTCTCATTAGATTAGACTAACATCGATCACCGGTTGAAGATGTATTCGTTACTGGTGTTACCATTGATAATGATGATATTGATGATGATGATGATGATGATGACGCCATTGAATTTGCTGATGGATTTCCAACAACAAATTGATGTAAAATATCATTTGAATTATTTGATGTTGATATTTGTGGCAAATTTCCTAAAATATATAAAATCAATTTTTATGTATTTTAATTCTCATAAAAAATAAATAAATTCAAATATAAACCATTAGAATTCGTTGCTGTACGTAGTCGTGAATTTATTGTTTGTTGAGTTGGATATCGACTTTGAACTAGTGGTGATTGAGATAAATAATCACTTAGATTTATATTATTTATTTGTTGCTGAGCTGTATAACTTTGGGATAAATCAATTTTTTGGACTGTTGATGATGCTGCAGCTGAATTAAGTGGTGATGACGATGATGATGATGGTGATGTAAATTGAATTGTGTTAAGAGATGCTACAATATTAAAAAAAAAACAATTAAAATGAGAAATCTTAAAAATGAAAGTTCTACATTGATTGGATTTTTGTGGTTCACGTAATCGTACAACTTGATTGAGAACACCTGATTGTGTATTAATAACACCTGTTTGCGGATTTGTCATGCGAGGTTGTAAGGATTGTTGTGGCGAAGAAAAACGAATTTGTTGATTAAGAATAGTATTTAATGGATGTTGTGATTGATTAAGCATAGGTACTGATGCTTGTTGAGGAAGATTCAATTGTTGATTTAGATATTGTGGATTATTATTTAATGATTGCAATGTTTGCTGTTGCTGTGATTGTTGTTGTAATTGTTGTTGTTGTAATTGTTGTTGTTGTTGTTGTTGCAATTGTTGTTGTTGTTGTTGAGCACGATTTTGATATGCATCTAAGAATTAGTTAAAATATATTTTATTTTTAAATTATCTTTTTATTCATTATAATAAGAATAGCTGCTAATTTTAGCCTCGACTATAAAACTACGTTGTTAAATTAATCGGGCAAATAGTTTTTATCTATTCTATTATTAATAGAAGGTCATATGTTTTTTTGGCTTCTCACATACAATGAATAAAAAAGTAGTAGATACTTCAATCAACTTGATAAACATTTTATAAATATTTTAAATAATAGCACTCACTTTGAACTTGTTGATAATAATTTTGAACAAATTTATAATAAACAGCCTATGATAAAATAATAAAATTAATTTATTTTCATTTGATATTAAAGAATTTACTTTAACACCACGTGATTTTTCATATGCAAGACCTTCAACTCGTTTTGACAAATCAATGGTCCATTTTGTAGTTCTATGTTTAACAAAAAACACAAAGAAATAAATGTACTTCATGGACAAAAAAAAACAAACAAACTGTCTCTACTTACAATCTTTGAACTAAAGCTTCTCGTTCAGATTCTGTTACTAATGTTTGACCATTAGGATCTGTTTGCTGTTGCACAGCTGTATCCGTCATCATATCTAGTCAAAAAAAAAAAGAAAAAAAATCTGTTGTCTGCCTCTCACAAAGAAAAGCGGAATAATAAAGAATGAAATCAGCGATTTTTAAAAGTCTCTCGAATAGAAAAAAGACGCACCATACAAAAAAAAGAGGAAAAAAGTCAATGGCAGATGATGACAACGACAGTGACATATACTTAACAACACATGATGATAAGAAAAAAACAATAATCTAGGAATAAAGAAAATATAACCGACAAAGAACAAGAAAAAAAGTCTTCAACGACAAAAAAGACACACGAGAGTCAAGTTTAAATATCGCAAATTTTATATACACAAAAAAGAAAACAATAACTCAGATAAGTTAGCTAGAAAATTTTTGCTGTTGAACTGCATGTTTCTTTTGTGATGGACACTCTGCTTTAAGATGTTCGGTACTTTTACAAATATAACATTCTTTTCTATAATGATTATATGGATATGAACGACGTGAATTATTTGTTGATTGTTCAAATGAATTATGAAATTCTCTTGATTTTTCATTGACTGCATATTGAAAAGGACGTTGATTAGGTGGAGCAGACTTCGGTTGATTATATCCATTACGAGTATTATTATAATATCGTATATTATCTTGAACATTGTTTGATAAATATGTTGAATGATTATTCATATAAGATTGTTGTTCATTATAATTAGTTGTTCGTTTTTTCTTTTCATTTTCATTTGCTAATGCTGCTAATTTTGGACAACGTTTTCGAATATGATATGGGCCTTTACACCATTCACATCGTTTAGGTGCATTTGTTGGACATAAATCATCAATATTAAATAATGTTTCCTATTTAAATTTAAGTTTAAATTTTTATTCTATTAAAACAAAAGATTTTTTTTATCAAATTTTTTTGTGAACATGAAAACTTGAATGATTATGTTTTTTTTTTCTTTTATCCACATGCAAGAATTCTAATTTGATAAAAAGACTGTTGATTGTATTATCTTATGTCACAGATTTGTTCGCACTATCAGCGATAGTGCTTACGACTTTTACTTTCAGTTATAAACGATTGCAGAAAGTGTTTTCTATTCGAATTCGAATTATTTATTAGAAAGAATTCAAAAACTAATCTTAGAAAAAAATAATTTCAAAATATATTTTATTAATTTAAAAGTTTTGCAGCGTCATCTATAATGAAAACTTATCTCATAAACGGGACCTATCTGAGCTCTGTGGCTAGTAAAGATAGCTCAGATCAGTGGCGTACGCAGAAATTTTTCAAGGGGGGGGGGGGGGGGGGGGACGGTTGTGTGGGGGGGGGCGGCATAGGCCAAAAAATGTTTTTTCCCGAGGAGAGAGTTTTTTCTGCCTCACCCCGGACAGGGGTT